AGCGATAGATGTTGTCAAGAAAGAATTTAGTTATTTCTTCTCCTATGATAGATTTTGAACATGGTACAAAATATGCCATCTTTGTAAAATGATCTATTATTACGAATAAAGATTCATAAGAATCTAAGATTGGAAGATCTATGATGGAATCCATAGAAACAAAAGACCACGGTTGTTCTAGAATGGATAATGGTTGAAAAAGTCCGTAAGGTAGATGACGGAGAGTTTTTGATCTTGAACAAATGTTGCATGACTGAACAAAGTGTTTCACACCCTACCACATTTGTGGCTACCAAAAATCTTTGGATATAAGCTCTAAAGTCTTGTTGTATCAAAAATGTCTTGCTGTAAGAAAGTTGTGACATGCTTAAAGAACACATAATCATGCTTCTCTTTTTGGAACATATAATTGACCTTTGAAATAGAGTAGGTTGTTTTTTAACTCAAACTTAGAAGTACCTTGGATATTAAAAGAAATATTCTTAATATTGTAAATAAGATGATCACAAGACATACTTAATTGGATTTATTTTACAAAGGTGGAATCAACAATCAGTGTTGATTTCATTACTTGAAGATGAAAATGCTTTGGCTTCAAGAGAATCATTCTTTGTTGATCAAAAGATGCATTTCTTTCTTTTAGTATAAGATAAGAACATTTAAAAATGCATCTAACAAACCTTGTTATTTTTTGGATCAATATGTGATCTTAAAATCAAATCTTCATAAAGACATGTTCTAATGGGCTTGGCAATGATTCAAAATACATGCTGATATGAAGTACTCGAGATTCTTGTGGTCTATATACATGGCGACTAGATTAGAAGCACCTTCTACATGATGATATTATTCTTGAAATGAATCCATGATTGCAAGAAGCTCTTTGCCATGAATTTCATAGTTAATCTTGACTGTTGAAATTTTTTTGGAATAAAAGGCTATTAAATGAAGTTTATCATCTATTCTTATTTCTAATAGTATGACACCTAAAGCAAAGTCTGATGCATTTGTTTTCATAAAAAATACCTTAGAAAAATCAACATGATACAAGATTGGTACAAAAATAAAAGCTAACTTCAAAGCTTCAAAAGATGCTTTAGCTTCTTTGCTCCACTCAAGTTTGTCTTTGCAAGTCAAACATTGTCGTGTTGTAATACGACTATATAGTAAAATTGTAATCAAAGTTGAATTTTTAATTAATATCTAATTATCTTAATTCAATTATAATTTGAGGTATCTAAACATGGCTTTTATAAAATCCTCTTAGGTTATTTTCTTATCTTAATAGTTAGTAGGTTGAAGGTTAGTTAATAATTTTACCTTCTAGGTTGTAGAGACTCTTCTACTATCTTAGAAAGACCATAAATTAATAAAATCAGATTAGAAGAGATAAATAATTATTATAGTTGATATTGTGGTTAAGTTGAAAATAGGATTGGGCTAAAAAAAGCCTTCGGATAGATTAGATTGATACCCAGAGATTGACCATTTGTGAGACAGGGTCGAAATCAGACCTCTGGCCACTAAAATAATGGCCTAGGGCAAAATAGGGAGTCATTTGAAGATTAGAGATTAGATTTTGAGAGCTAGCTTGAAGTTCTTTTCAAAGACATAAGAATCGTTTTAAAAGGGTATTGGAAGACTTAGCAATTGTTGTTCAAAGTCAGGGTTTGTATCAGTAATTTGGATTTCATATAATATAATTAGGGCTAGCAATTTTGGCTTGTTTGTATAATTAGTGTGACATCTATAGTTAAAAACTTGATAATTTTTGGATAATTGGGTGTGCTAAGTGTATACAATTTTTTTTGATAATCTAATGGCGTGGTTTAGAGATATCTAGTTTTTAGCACAAGAGGGTTTCAAAAGGTGGCAGTTTGAGGTTGGATAGGATTTCTATGATATCTAAAGATCTATCAGTCAAATTAAGGTGAAAATTGGCATGGTATTGAATGACTTGAAGATCAAGCTACATACCAATTTTGAAGCAAAGCTAATAATTGGAAAGGGAGAAATTATTGCTGAGATTTTTGCTTCACTTTTTAAGTTGGTGGTCGAGTGACATTAGTTCAATTTTTGGAGGTTTTTTCATAATTTGTAATTTGGATTGGACTAAAAATTCTTAATCATATAGAAGACTTATATTGACAATTTCATGCAAAATTCCACATCAAGTGGATAGTCGGATTGGATGTTATAGCTTGTTAAAGCTCATTGATTAGAATTGGGATTTATAAGAAAAATCTAAATTGCTTAAATATAAAAGTAATAAGGTAATTGGGATGTATGTATGTTTAAGACTACTAAGAAGAGTATTTTAAGCACTTTTGAATTGAAATTTAGATTATATTCTTCTTGTATGGGTGAAACCTATTAGAATTTTTTGGCTACTTGTGAAACATAATCTCACCTTCCCCAGCTAGGTGCCCAGTGCATTCCTAAGCAAAATAACTTGTTATATGAAAACGTGTAAGTGGAGCTTGAACTCAAGAGAAGTCTTTGATGAAGATCCAATAATAATTGACAAAGTCCAAAAAGCATTGAATATCTCTTATCGTTTTTGGAATCTTCCAATTCATAATAGTTTGAATTTTCTTAGAATCCATCATAAGTCCATCATTTGAAATGATGTATCTTAACAAGTCAACTTTAGTAGTGTAGAATACACACTTTTTTATCTTAGCATAGAGACTCACATCTCTTAATTTTTGTAATACACAATAAATATGAAGTTCATATTGATCTGTATTCTTAGAATAGATCAAGATATTGTGTAGATAATAGATAAAAAAATTATGCAATAACTTTCAAAAAAATATTATTCAATAAATATTGAAAAGCTACCAATATATTTGTAAGTCCAAAAGGCATGAAATTGTATTCAAAATATCTATATCTAGTTTAAAATACAATCTTCCATTCATCTCCTTCTTTAATATGTAGTAGATTATATGCTCCTCATAAATCTATTTTTGTGTAGATCATAGCTTGATTTAGTTGATCAAGAAGTCCGAATATCAAAGATAGAATGCATCTAATCTTCATGATAATCTTATTGAGTCCTCAATAATCAACATACATTTGCAATGATCGATCTTTCTTCTTCACAAATAAGATTAGAGCTCTTCTTAGCAATTTGGAATGGCATATAAAATTCTTGGCTAGGTTTTCTTCAATATATTCTTTGAGTACAACTAATTCATATTCTGATAAACTGTAGATTGGTCCAAATAGCAATTGTGCTCCTTCTTGAAGGTTAATTAAGTAGTTATAGGAATGATGTTCTAGAAGAGTATTCACATTCTTCTTCTCAAATACATCTTGAAACTCTTGATATTGGCTTGGAATGACACTTGAAGTCTTTGCATCATTAGAAATAGGTGTGGCATAAATGACACAAGGTGATCATTCTTTTGTAGCATGCAAGAAAGCTCTCATATCTACAAACACAAGTTTTATTATGTTAGATTTATTACTTTCTACTAAATTAATTTCATTCTTAGTTATACTTTTAGAGAAGTCAAGAGTACAAAAAATCCAATCTTTGCAAGAATTATACTTTTCTAACCATGATAAATCTAAAATGATTGAATTAGAAATAGATCTAATTATATTAAAGATTACGTAAGTACTATGACTATTTATTGCTACTTCTATAGGAAGTGTTTCATGAGTAATATCTCTAGAAGACAATAGATGACTATCTATGACTTCTACATGAACAAGTTTAGTTTTTTGTACTAACGATATTTTATGACTTTTATTAAATTCTATATCTAAGAAACAAGCTGAGGCTCCTGAATCTATCAAGGTAGAGGCTTTATAATTATTAGGTCCTAAATGCATATCTTTTATAAAATAAGAAGAAGGTTTTGAAGAGAAGATAGGACCTTCATTAGAAATTGTACAAAATTTCAGCCACACGGTTCCTATTATAGCTGGACAAATTTATTTTTTTACACATTGTCTTCTTTGACAATTGTGCTCCTCATTTCATAATTTTGTGACTTCTTTGGACAATGTTGAGCAGTATGTTTAGATTCTCCACAATACAAGCATAATCCTTCTTGACAGCAACAAGTTTTTTTTTTTGCTCGATAAGAAGTTTAACATATACCACATCGATTTGCATATCCTCTACTTCTAAATATATGTGTTGAAGAGATGTTGGTATTTCCATCAAATTGTAGTAATGTTGAGGCCCACTTGTGCAATTCTCAGATTGAAATTCAAAAAGTTGATTGTTGCACTTCACAGCAAAATCAATTGCTTGACTTAATGTTTGAGGATTAGATAAGTTGAACATCGATTTCTTTACTTCATATTCTAATCCGTAAAAAAATTGGCTAATAAGTGCAGCATCATTCCATTCGATATCAATTATAAGTTATCAAAATTGTAAAGCATATAATCTTACAGATCAATTGGCTTCTTACAAAATACGGATCTTATTGGTTGCAATATGAGTTGCATCATGTTTTCTATACATGGACCAAAATTCTACTAAAAATACTTCCAAAGTCTCGCCAACCAAGCCCACCATGACATTGTTTTGTATTTTCCCAAAGGTATTTATTTAATTGACAGTGTTCAACTTGCAGCTGGTTTGATTTATCCTAGGGCAACAGTACCGAGAGTTAATGCTAAAATCTCTCGGAAGAATGCTGCACATAAATAGTAAACACATTCATTTAGCAGGAATTTTGTAGAATGAGATTTAGAAATGACCTGGCCAATCAATTTTAAAGTACTGTCAACTTTGTGGAATCAATGCAAGGACCATTGGCAAACAAATTCTAGTTCATTTTCCACCTTGACTTCATTCCAGAAAAAAGGAAGCTAATAAAGAGATCCAACGACAACTGAAATGAGGGTATAACACTCATGGCATAAAAGGGTACAAAAATTCGTTAGAAACTGTAGAGCTTAGAGGATGCATTCAGGCAAACATAGAATTTCAAGCAAAGAAACATCCCAGCATATTTTAGAAATTCAGAATATAAGACACTCAATTTGATGAAAGTATTTTCATTCACAGGTCATGGTGGATGTCATAAGTAAAATTGAGCATCTCAACCCAACAAAGTCCACAATGCATGCACATACAAAAAGGAATACTAACTACTAGAAGACTACGCCAGATTGTGCAAACCTGGTCCCTTCTTACCATGCATGTCTTCCATCTCCATGACCATGTTTTCTAAAATAAATACAAAGAAAATTTTCACTCTTCTTCGGGAGTAAGACTCCTTCGAGGTAGGGGTGAAAGATCCTTAGCAGGACTACCCTTATCCAAGTCTTGCTCTGGGCTAGGGCTGATACTACGCCTCTTCTCTCGGGGTGGAGGACTTTGCTCACCACGATGAGCCTCTGGACTCGGACTACGAGCTCCGGGGCTTCTGCTTATACTTCTCCCGTTGGGGACAGGGCTGGGAGAAAGACTACGTTTCTCATCCTTAGGCAGAGGAGTCAGGCTCCTGCTTTTGCTGCGATCTGACTTTCTACGGTCACCCTTGGCAGGACTACGATCATCCTTCATGGGACTGCGGTCAGCCTTAGCAGGACTACGACCCCTTCGAGGAGGTGAACGACTGAATAAATCAAAGAGATTATCAGCAAAAATGACTTATTCTAGTTTCCGATGGTTCATATTTATGTTAAGCGCAAGAAATTAATATTAAGTAGATGAACTTCGACCAAATGTGGTAGCAGTTGAGAGAACAAACCTGAAGCTGCGACTTCGGCTACGGGAAACACTTCTGCGAGACGACCTCTTGTGCCCTCGAGGAGACCGAGAGCGGGAACGCGACGGACTGCACCAGAAACACACAATAAGAAACTCGATACATGGCACACACTTGTAAAAATGCAGAGAACGAATGATTTCATTAGAGGTTGAGCCAAATAAGTCTGCTCGCAAAATATGGCCTGATTCGCAGCAATATCTTGATTAACTGTCGCAAGGAAAACACTTAGAAGCTCACCTGCTTGTCGGCCTTGGACTGTTGCGGCAATTACGCTCTATGTGCCCACGCTGGCCGCACCGATAGCACTTATCCCTCCAATCACCTGCTTTGCAATCTCTCGCCCAATGGCCATCATTTCCACAATTATAACAACGACCAGTGCCAGGAGGCGGGCCTCTCCCAAGATATTCACGAGCACCACCTGAGGCACCGCGGGGTCCCTGATCCATCATCCGCTACAGTAAAAATGAGTATACTCAGTTGACAGAGTCATTCAGAAACAATATTAACAGGATCCACGCTACATTACGCTGTTCACACTTTCAGAAAACAACATTACACATTAAAGACAATTCAATACCATTAAAAAAACAGCAAGGAATATCAAGGTCTCCATTCAAAAGAAAAAAATGGAAAAAAATTCTCCAAAGAGATGATCTCCAACATCAATGGTAACACTCACCCTCCTCGCAAACTCAACAATGAGCCTGTTGCCATCAAAGTCTTTCCCGTTCACATAATGTCTTGCATCATCCGCATCTCGAGCATCGGCGAATTCCTGAAGAATTGAATACGCTGTAAATTGAGCAGCTTTGACTATAAATGGGCATAATAAGACACAAAATCCTAACAGACATAAATAGTGACAGAACGAATTAAACGGTACACACTCAACAAATATACATAAACCAAAATGTTCAGGTCAAAATCGCCACACCGTTGTGGAATGAATACAAAACAAGTGAAAAGGCGTTATTTTCTTACAAAGAAAGAAATCATTTGGGTTGGGCAGCAAGTACACAGACCATTTCATAATCATGCATTATCACAATTGAGAGCATAAACTCCAACCATATTTAAAACACATGAGGAGAATGTCAACGCTATATACAGAACAACACGTATTTAGGAGGTATACTCACAACAAAGGCAAAGTCGTGCTTCACATCCACGTCTCGAACTCTGCGGAAAGGGCCGCCAAAAAAAGAGCATCGCACCACGTCAAGAGCATTGTACGAAATCAGACGAATCACACACCACTTTACTTCCACCCCTCGTCACTTCATGAATGTACGTGTAAAGACGGCCACTCATACATACAAGGAAGCACGCCTACGATGCGCCTGTCTGCCTCCCCAACTACCTTCGCGAGCTTAAGCCACCAGTGCCACCAAAGACCCCTCACCAAAGAACTCCAGGCCGTGAGAGAGCCCACCAACCTTCAACAACATCATGCAAGTAATTATGGCTTAGCCCTGCCCATTCCAATACCTTGCCTTGATTGTCGAGGCTGTCATTTTCTTGCAGTATTCAGCAGTGACAAGTAACGTGCAACTGCAAGGTAGGACTAACCACCTCCACAAACAATGACTAACTAGATCAAATCTTACAAGGTGCTTGCAAATGACATTATTTCACTACCGTTATTTCTGTCATTCACCTACCTAGTGATCTTATCTTACACAGAACAACCCCCGTCAATTGCTTTCCTTCAGGTCTTGCATAATCAATACACAATGCGAGTCTTGCGTTGAATTCCCATTGAAATTCGCTAAAACTAGCCGCATCAATGACAGTTTGTTTTAGACCTGCTAGAATACTAGTAGACGCCTCTACTCGATGCACAGCAGGTTTTTCAGCACAAGGAGGATTTCTAGCGCAGAGTCAAATAGACGTATTGAATCTTGCTCGATCCTGTGTATCAATCGCCTAAAACCCCTAAATCAACTACCACTAAAAGTCTAAAACCCTGAGTAGTACAGGGCTAAAAAAAGACAAAACGATGAAACTCCTGAATGTGGTCAAGGATGCTGACTTCCACAACGAACAAAACCAATCGGCAAAAAATCACTGACATATGTCCAACTCATAACACCAGAACCCACCAAAACTTGCATCGGTGTTGTTCTCCACGAAGATGCATCAAAACATATGTCTTCAAAAAAATCCCAGTATGCCACCTCATTACGGGTTTAATTAGGCAATATGAAGGCACAATGGGCTCTTCCAGCATCTATCCAACAGATCTCTTCATTGACCTCACACGGATCAAATGGTAATATTCATACCTCCCATATTTCGCGAAGAGGTCTTCCAAATCTCGGCTTCTTGTTCGGGTAGAAAGACGGCCGACATACAAACGAGTGGCTCCAGCATCAGGGCCAGTATCGGCACCTCTACCACCACCACCACCACCACGGTAACCTCCTCCACCTCCGCCTCGATCATCGCGCCTGTCGCTGCCTCTGTAGCGATCATCATATCGAGACATCTTGCACAGAAAGGGAAGTACTACACCAATAGCTGCAAAAATATTCACGAAAAAAACACACGATAACAAATAATTAAGGGAGGAAGAAAAACGTCAATTACTAATCAAATGAATGAATTAGCATTCTTGTCCCAGCATGTTATTCCCAAAGACATCACCGTCAGAAGTAAGCGCTCAGTCCATATCAGCTCTTGCAAATAGGAAGTATAATCAGATTCCAGTGAAAAACCCTTATCTCCCAAACACATTGCTCAAAGTAAAGTTACTCTTCCCTTAAAAAAAGCGCATAATACCCTTACATAACCAAACTGAAACACTTATACACAGACATAGCATCTCCGACGGATTTGCAGAAGTCTCGACATATTTGCAGAAAAACACTCATTTGAAACGCTAAACAGTAGAGAAGAACCTACAATCAAGTCCCATGCGTGACGAGTGTGTTGTAACCCGAATTTGTTAGCAAAACCTGTGTTAAACAATTCATTGGTGCACCCACTTTGTATGCGAAATAAACAAAATACGAATATGATGAGCAAAACCCAAAGACCAATGAAACAGCAGTAAAACATCCGAGCTCAAACACTATCAACCATATCAATGATAAGTATGGAGGAGCTCACAAACACTTCAAAGTGAATAAAAAATGAGAATCCAAAAACGCACCAATACCCAAGAATATATGACCAAAATCTCTGAATTATGTGATACAAACTTTAGGGAAACGAAGGGAGCATCAAACAACAGAGATAAACAATACATGCTTCATGAAACAGAAAAAAAGACACCGCTCAATGATACGATTAAATACGCAAAAAGAAGAAATACTGTGTAGAAACACGGTGTTCTGCAACCAAGACCAAGGTCAACCAAAAACCTACCACAAACGAAAACAAAAAGTACATTCAACAAAGAAGAGCATCAGAGTTTGCTTTATCCCAAAAGCAATAACCCATCAATCACCAAGTGAGCCGTAAAGTCAAAACTCCACAAACAACTATCGCGTGACTTCACACTCGCACAATTATCACATCTCCACTTCACCATTAATTTCCACAATATCAAATATACCAAAACCCCTGAACTCACCATACACAGCACTCAGTCAAACTCATGGCACGCACACCCGTTCATAAAACATGAAACCCTATTTGTCTCCCAGACAAAACTCAGGAGACGAGAGATTACAGACATGAGGGCAACCCTACAAGCAAACTCAGGGGTCGAGGAAAACGCAATGCGGGGGATTAGTGCCACGTACCGAAGAAGGAATACGCTGCGAGGCCCGTGTCCCAGAGAGAGACACTCACTGGAATGAACAGAGGTCTGAGAAACAAAGCTTCAAGCCGCCATAGCCATAGAGAACCATCGCTAAGGTAAAGGGGTGGACGAGGCCTTGAGGCCTGAGAACGGGGACGGGTGTCGTCAGATCTGGGCCGTCCGCTTGGGTGCATCCATCCAAGGGACAGGGGAAGTGTCGTACCCGTCCAATTGGCCCCCTTCCCTTCTAAGCCCCTTCTATGCCTCCTTCCTCTGCGTTGTTCTCGCTTTAGTTTTGTAGCACGGGTCGCAATTTGTTCTCGCTCGCTCTCCTTCCTGCTCGCTGATGCAAGATGCTCACGAATCATGCAAGCAGAATGAGGTTAGATGATTCGTGGGGGGTGTGGAATCCCGAAACCCTGAAACCTTGAAACCCTAACACCTCTGTGTTCTGAAAGTGGGTTGTCGGAGTAGACTCCGGGGATGGATCGATGGATGGATGCCGTGGGGGAGTGCGGGAGTGGGGGTAAGTGAGTGAGTGCGATTGAGGATGGGCATACACATTGGCACGCGAAGACGGTTGCGATTGACCTCAATTTCCGTTGTCGACAACGGGGTTGCTGTGGTTGCTGTTCTCGATGCCTTTGGAAGCTTCGGCTTGCCACCGTCGGTTGTGTGTTGGTATTGTACCTCAAAATTCACACACATCTCTCTCTTTTTATTTATATATATATATATATATATATATATATAAACACACACATCTCTCTCTTTTTAATCATATATATATATATATATATATATATGTAAACACACACACACACACATACATATGGTAGTAAGAACTTGTGTTGGAATTTGCATCATTCAATGTGAGGAAAATCAAAATGGAAAAATCAGATGTGAGCTGATTTGTTAGATTATAATTTGCTTTGCAGATGTTTCTGTCTTTGTGAGCACTCTTTAAGAACTACGTCAGTATTTCAGGTCAAATTTTGCATACGGCTTTGGAGACATCTTTGGTGAAAAGAAATTGAAATTTGAATTTGAAAAAAGTTTGACTTGATGAGAAAATTTGTTTATGTTCCTTGTCTATCTCTTTAATGCATGTCTTTTTTGTGTTTATGATTCTTATTATTATCATTACATTACAAATACATATATACAAAATACAAAAATTGTATTAGAAGCTGAATCAAAACTTAAGTCATGATTGTGTTAGTTAATGAAAAGAAAAACTTTATGAATGATTGTAATTGATGCATATATATATATATATATATATATACATACATACATAGATACATACACTTGCATAAAAGATTTATATAGATAATAATTATATTCATTTAAAATTAAAAAATATTTTATAATTATATAAAATTATATGTTATTTTTTGATGGAAAGGATGAATATAAAATAAGCTCAAGCCACAAGAACTTCCTAAGTTGATGTATGCATATCTATAATGTCTATATATACACCTAAGGCTTTTAATTGATTCATCTAGATTTCTATTTCCTTGTCTTAGGATCATTCCTAATTCTCTTCTTTCTCTCTCTTTCTTTGATAGGGGTCCCAACCTCCTCCATCTCTTCTTTGCCCCGATGCAAGTCTCACCTCTCTTCTTTATCCAAACATGAGTCTTGATCCTCCCCTCCTTTTCTCATCAAAGGTCTTAGTGCCATCCTCCTTATCTTTATTAGAAAAGAGGATGAAGACAAAGAAGAGAGATGAGATCTGCATCAAGATAAGGAAGAGAAGAAAAGAGACCATTGTTGTGTGGTAATACTTCTATATGGTAAAAGAAGAAAGAAAAGATTATATTATAAAGGAGCTTAAATGAAAATATTTTAGGAAATTATCTTAGAAATATAGATAATAGACAAGGAGATACTAAAAATTAATAAATGTTAATATTGCCTTATTGAAGAAGAAACTTCTATTTATTTTGTAAGGACTTAGGTGAACCAAATCAAAGTAAATGAAGTAAAAAATTAACATAGGCATTTTTAGAAAGGAATTAAGAATAGGTTTTAACAAAGAAACACCTCAAAATATGAAGAATTCATACTCAAAGAGGACCATTTGCAAACCAATGTTGAAATCAAACCTTAAGGCATAAAATTGTACACTTACATTGATGCTAGGGTTGTTTGATAGATTAGAGAGCAAAATTTCAGAGCAAACTTGTGAAGGGATTTTTAAGAATTTATTTCATGTGATTTGAAGGCATATTGAGGCTTTGACGACTTTTCAAAATAAGAAATATATTCAATGAGTTTAGATTTTTGAGAAATAAAAAAAAGTGTACAAATTTGAGGATTATGTAACTGATATAGTATATCTATAGGTAATTTTTTTTTAATCTATAATTGTGTTTGTTTTAAATGTATTTGAAATTTTTTATATTAATCAAATGATTAGATTCATGGTTATGAGAGTTTTTGTAGGTTATGGTCTCAAAGAATTGAAATTTAAGATTAGTGAAGGTTATTGCAATCTCTCAACATCCGCCAATTCAATTAAAGTTTAAATTAGTGAGAACAATTAAGGCTTTAAAATCTACACATCAGCCAATTTTTGAAGTAATTTAATGGTTCAATAAGGAGAAATTTCTAATGGAAGATCAACATTCATATTGAAGAAAGAAGGCAATCGACATCTAAGAGGTTTTGGAAGCTTTTCTTTCAATAAGTGAGTTTGATTCTCTTCATTTAAAAACACAAATTCTCTTCTTAATTGTTTGTAGATTGAAATGTGAGTGAAATTTAAAACATAATCAATGATTTGATTAATATTTATTGAGATTTTAAAATAAATTTAGTAAGTAATTAAGATTTACTTAGGATTTTCTTTGGATTGTTTAAGATTTGTTTAGGATTTGATTTAGAATTTCGAATTTGATTAAGAATTTTATAGGATTTGATTAGAATTTCATTAGAATCTGATTAGGATTTGTTTATAATTATGTTAGGATTTATTTAGAATTTTATTAAGAATTGATTAAGGCTACTTTAAGATTTAATTAGGATTTACTTAAGATTTACTTAAGATTTATTTATGATTTCTATTTTTAGTATTTTAAAAGAATATTTTTATTTCTTTAAGGATTTGATTTTTGTATTTTTTTAGTATTTCTTTATTATTATTTTTTTAGATTAATTTATGACTTCTTTATTTTTCTTTTGTAAATTCTTTTGAATTGGTTAAAATTTGATTAGGGTTGTTAAGGATTACTTAGAATTTCATTAAGATTCTATTAGACTTGCTAGGATCTTATTGTTGCATTTTATATTTACTTTCTACAGTTAAGTGCCCAATATATTTTTAAATAAGAATTTATATTACATAACACTAGGACTTGTGTTTAGAAAAGGAAGAGATGCAATACCCGTATTGGAGCAAGAAGAAAAGAAAGAAAGTTGGAACCTATGCTTAAGCAAGAAAGAAAAGGAGAGGACCGATACTTGCACTGAGATAAAGAAAAAATGATTTGCATGAACCAATCAAAAGCCTTAGATGTGTGTATAGGCATAATGAGTATGCGTAGAGCAACTTGAAGTGTGCTTGTAGTCTAAGCCTATAAAATATTTCATATAATTTAAATTTATATAATTTATTTCATTCAAAGAAAGAAAGACAATTTATTTGTATAAAAAATTAAATTTTAAATATATTTTTATCATCATAGATATATACAATTAAATTTAATTATTCATAAATATGTTAATGTTAATACACATATTTGAATAGATAGACAATTATACAAAAATCCTAAGATAGATAATGTTTAATTTCTCTAAAATCATTAAATTAGAAGACTATAATTTTTTGTATTTTTATATTTTTTGTATTTTGTGTATGAATGCCACAATAATGAGCTATTGTGTATCCACTTTAGCATAAATAAGAGATTTGAATTGCAATCATCTGATATTATCTTTTTTTATTTTTTATTTTTTAAAAATACAAAACAATTTAATCAAGATATATGGAGAAGATCTATTAAAATATTTATATCTTTTCTTTCTTTAATTTTTTGCTCTAGGATTAATTTCCATATTACTATGTCTTGTATTTTAGGAATTTTAGTTAATTTTTAATTATAAATATATCGAAAATATTTTTGATAGATAATTTTATTTATTTATTTAAAAATTATTATTTTTAAAAATATAAATATATTTTTATTATTTTGAAATGAATAAATAATAATGTAATAGCAAAAAAATGTTAATAGTATAATATAAATATTTCATGTTTAAGACATATCATCTATCATAATATAAAAAAAATTGTTGAATAAAATGTCAAGATTAGGTCGACACAAATGTGTTTATGATATATTGAAAGATTAAATAGATATATTGAAAAAATAGCATATATATATATATATATATATATATATATATATATATACCAAGCATTATTACTAAAATTTATAAAACATATTGAAGATGTCAATTCTACTTATATTATCCAATATTATAGGAACATATTAAATTTCAAACATAAAAACTAAATATTGATATTTTCTAAAACTTCTATACTACTTTAATAAAATTGATAATGAAGATAGCATTTATGCCTTAATTTTTGAAGGTTTCAAACAAATATTTTGAAAAGTTGTTAAAGCTATACCTCAATATTATTAAAGCCACACTCTTTTTTACCATTTCATGATTGATTTTGTCTATTTCTATCCCTATTCTTCAGTTATTGTTATTTGTCATCTTTTTCTTCAATCATTCTCATTCTTGTCTCCATTCTTCATTCATTGTTGCTCGTCATCATTTCCTTTCTTTGCTATTATATTTTTATCCTTTATTTTTTGTCTCTAATCATTTTTTTTTTTTTTTTTTTTTTTCTCTCTCTCTCTCCTCCATCTTCACTTCATTCCATTTTCTAGCCTATGAACTCTTTCTTAGGTTGTCTGATATTTTTAATTTACTCAAACACCATCTATCCTGTCACTTCCTTGCCATTACTATTCACATAAATTCTAATAAAACCAGCCAAAAATCAATAGTCTTCTGTGCATCCCTCTCAAATGCAAACATGCTAAAGAACAACTTGTTTTTAGTCTTTGGCCTCTTGTCTACTTCTAAGCACAAATACAATGACCATGATATTAGCTTTCTGTCCAACATAGACTTCTTCTTTAACTCATTGGTCCTTTAATTTTGCAAGATATTGCCTTGGTGATGGTTTTCTTTGTTTGTTAGTCTACTATAGCCTTAATATTTGTAAAAAAAACCTTAATATTTGTTGGCATTGTACCACATCCTTCTTGTAAGGATGGTCATTAACATAGAGATACTTACAATTCCAACTCCAGCCAACTTATTTATCCTGCTTAAGACGTGTAATGCTTAGAGATCTCCAAGCATAGCAACAATTACAACTTGTAATAATTCCATAGCTTCTATGTTTGCTTGGCTTCAAATTTAAATCCTATAAAGTTTGATTTTACATATGATACTCCCA